GATGGCCGGCGGCTCGCCCGCCCCGCCCCCGCCGTTGTTGCTGTTGTTGTTGTTGTTGCCGTTCGCCCCGGGCACCTCCAGGGGGTCGTAGTCGTCCACGAAGGCGCCGCCCTCCACCAGGAGCCCCACCACGCTGGCGTGCCCCCCCCTCGCGGCCATCGTCAGCACGCTGGCCCCCATCCTGTTCCTGCCGTTGATCTCCGCTCCGTTTTCCAGCAGGATGTGGGCGACGCTCAGGTGCCCAAACCTACGGGAATTAACAGCGAGGGGAAAATTTATTTTATTTCCCGGCCGTGCAAGTTTTTTTTTTTTCTGCTTGCTTGCCAATGCTAAGTGTGATGTCCCACAGGCAGAATGATCAGGCTACCTGCTGGAAATGCGCATCGCAGTTATGCACTGCTGCCAATTCAAACTTTTTTTTTCTTCGCGAAGAAATTGCTTAAAATGTCAGCTTTCTCTAGGAACTCGGTTAATGGAGTCTTCCCGGCTCGCCCGGCTTTTCCAAGCTCGGAAATACTGCTCTATCTACTGTCTCTACTGCCGGACCCTCTTTGTTGAATGAAGGAATGAAAATTAAATCACGGGAAGGCATACAGGGAACGCGCGCTTTAAAAAACAAAAACTAATCTAACCTGTTTGTACAAAACTACGCTGGTAAACTGAAACTTTTATCCTGAAGTTCTCTATCTTCGCTCAAGAACCATTTCGGCCGTTTACAGGAACAGCACATAGTTGTCGCGAAAATCAAATCCAGTCTTCCGTGTTTCACCTGAATTCACCTGCAGAAGGCTCCACGGCCGAAACGTTGCGTTTTCGTCTCTTTTCAGCATGGAATTAACTTACTTGTTCCTTGCAGCCTTCGCATGCTGACGCAGCTACCCACCTGAACTACAACCTGTACGGTATTCCAGTGAGATATCCAAAACCCTTTCTACTGCATATATATTTCTAGATGTACACCCTTTTAAAGCAAAAACATGACTTTTATAAAATCCAAAACACTTTATCTTCTACTGCTAGGTCTAAAACGGATATGAAGAAACACTTGGGTGACAGCTTAGAAGCCCTGACTTTAATAGGAGGGACGAAAGGCGTGCACACTTTGCATTCGGGTAAATGATAAATATCGCGGTTCACTTTGCATTTTTTCCACCCAGCCGATTTAAGATCCGTGTATCTGTGGTGTGCACAAGAAGCGACCTCAGCGGTGCCGCCCATCTCTCAGGAGATGCCACCGCACCGGCGGCAGGCGCTCTGAAACGTTACCTGACGGGCTTGACACCCAGCGCACACAGAGCAGCCGACGCGCAGCGGTTACAATGACTCCTACTGCACCGGAACGGCACAAGGCAAAGCTAATTGAAGCCGCCCGTGTCCGCACTTGAACCACCTTGAATCGATTAAACCCGAGCTCTAATTTTACAATATAGCGTACCTGCCTCTTTGGGGGCTAAAACAGACCGTCGAGACCAACACCCCCCCGAGTTCCGAGTCATTCCTTGTGCTCAGTCTCATGCGAAACCGGCAGCTTCTACTTCAACAACCTCTCGGAGACCGTCAAATCCTTTTTTTTTAAGTACGAAGTCACCCCCATTAAAAAAAGTAAAGTTTTCTGGCTTAGTCAACTAACGGTGCTCTCTCTTGCGGGCACGTTTTAAATGGAGAACGAATTAAACTGTTGGGGGGGTATGCCTAAATTATTTGTTTGGATGCATAACTCAAGTCTGCAGAACAGGAATCTCTTCCAGACACCCTCGGATGCCCAGCCAGTCTTTCCCCCGCGCCTCAGCGCAGCAGAAAGCAGCGAGCGCGTTGGATACAGAGGGAGCGCACCACACCTCGCAGCCTGCATCAGCGGAGTCCAGCCGTAGTGGTTCCGGCTGTCCACCGAGGCCCCCTTCCGCAGCAAGAACCGGACCAGGTGCTCGTGTCCGCTGGCGGCGGCGAACTGGAGCGCCGTGTTGCCCTGCTCGTCCGCGCAGTCCACGGGGACGAGCGCCAGCTCCCCCGGGGCGGTGTCCGCGCCGCCCTCCGAGCCCGCCCCGGGCTCCAGGACGCGCCGGGCGCTCCCGTAGTCGCCCTCATCGCAGGCGCGGAACAGCAGCTGCGAGTTGGCCGAGACCCCGTAGCTCATCCTCGGACGCCGAGAAGCCCAGGAAGAAAGCCCCTGCGGTTTCCGAAGCCCGGCGCTGGCCCTCGCTGGGAAGACATTGCCCTTTTAATGTCGCCGCATGCTTAGTGCTGACAGCACCAGGAGAGGAGAGGACGCGATGCACACTGACCGTGACGCCCGGCGTTTAAGAAGTAGCCATCGGGCTGTTAGTTTACTCTTGTAAAAGTTACTTGGGAGCCGGCCGGGTTCTCAAGTCCTGACCATCAGATTTCTGGAAGCAGTGCTGGGCAGCGCATGCGCTTCTCCAGCGACGCAATCAGTCCATTTTTTTGGCCACCTCCCCTCTACCGTAAAATCCCCTAACAACGCGTAGGATTCAGTGTGGGGTGTCTATACTGCCCACCCCCTCAGCTCCGGGATAACTTTACTGGAAACAGAAGCTGGATACACACAGTTAATCGTCACTGCGGGGGACTACTTACTTGGGGGATTGGAAGTGGAAAGCAGTAACAGCGCACTACTGCACCGAATGTTTCCGAGGAAAAAAAAATTAAAGGCGTTCCTTACGATCATTCGCCTTGTGAAAACGCGCTACTTACAGCTTACAATCCCGCTCCACTGCCTAAACGAAACGATAAAATTCCAACCCATAAAAATAGGAAAATAGATGATTTATTTTTTTTTGTTCCCCGGCAAATTTCCCTTTCCTTTCCGTTGTTCCAACGGTTTGTTGTTTTCCAAAAAACAAAAACACCTCAGAACTCGTCGCCCTCCCTTCCAACTTATTTGAACTCTTACAACACATGCAACTACACCGACAGTGACGCTACACTGGTGTCTGTCCCCACGTACAAGGCGCTGGAGCTACCCTGCTAATGAGCCTGCGAGGTCCCTGAGGGAGATCTCAGTCCTCTATCACATAGTTGGGGTTCACCACCAGGAAGGGATCCTCTTCTGCTCTGGGATCTTCTCCCTGTGCTCCAGCTCTCTTCAGCCCGGTCTGCGTCAGCTCTATTATAATGTGGTCCTGCAAGGGGACAGAGACTCCGGTGTCGGACTGGGACTGGACTGAAGGGTCCATGCCAAAGTAAGGGTTGCACAGCATCGCTGCCCCGCGGCTCGGGGGCCCTGGGCTCAGTTCTAGACCTGGGGTGCGGTCTGTGTGGAGTTTGCACGTTCCCCCCGTGTTCACCTGGGCTTCCTCCCTCCGTCCAAAGACAAGCCGATAGGTTAACGTTTGGGAAAACTGCTCCTGGTGTGAGTGTGTGTCTGTGTGTGCCGTGCAATGGACTGGCATCCCTTCCAGCGTGTGCCCTGCCTTGTGCCCACTGCTTGCTGGGATAGGCTCACTGAATTGTATGGACAGATTCCACAGAGTACTTTTCTCCCAACACACCTGTGCCCAGCAAAGCACAGACACAGCAAGACAGGACAAAGGTTCCTCAAGCAGCTGCTGCATGAGTGACACCAGTGGATCTGCCGAGAGGAGAAATTCTGCAAGGAAATGCGGAGAGCGGTGCACATCATTTGATTGAATTCCATCATTTTTGTGATCCGTCTCAGTTTTCCAGGGAGTGGTGTGTTCCAGTGGGCGTGTTTAACAAAGTCAAAAGTGCTCTGAATCCTATGCTACAGAACGGGTGGTTTTGTTTAGCATAATGAAAGGGTTCTGAGTGTTGGCAAACACGAAGGAAGATACTTACGTAATGGATCAATCGATGAAGAACTTTTTCCAACAAATTTTTCTTGGCAATCAGTTCGGACTCCGACTCGATCTCACTCTCCATTTCTTTCAGGTACCAATTGATCAGCTCGCTCTTCCTCAGTGAAGATTCTTCATCCACTGCAAAGGGTAGG